TCTCTCAATTGTTTGGAGCACGATTAAAAGTGAAGATGGGAGAAGTGAGGTGAAAAGATGAATTTGAGGGAAAGTTCAAAATTGTGAAAATATAATTGGTTGGGTGTAATTTTGTATTTTTGTATGTCAAAATGGCTAAAATTCATCTTTTTACAAAACATGGCTAAAATTCATGTTTTGTAAATTTATATGGCCAATTAATGGTATTAACACTTTGTAAAATGTTATAGTTTCTTTTCAACATTAAAGGTAACTCATGTCAGACCTTCTTTCTGTTCTACCAACAAATTATCTGGAAAAATGCATAAATCTCGTTTTCTTCTAAATATCAAACAGGGACTTTTTGAAGGCACGAAAGCTTGCAGAAGAGAAAACGGAGGTATTTACCTATTTCGGCCTCAAGAAAATGCTATTCGCATGCAAAATGGGGCCCACAGAATGTGCATGCCTTCTCCTTCTCTTCACCAATTCCTCGATGCTGTCACACAAACTGCACTTGCCAACACTCGCTGGGTAAAATCGTTAATAGTGAATGCATTCGTGTATCTTTCGTTATTTGTTCGTTTATTCGTTATTTGTTCGTTTTCTTTGTTTAGAGCAGATACCTCCACCTGGAAAAGGGTCGTTGTACATTAGGCCTCTGCTTATAGGAAGTGGACCTGTGCTGGGTTTGGCACCGGCTTCTGAGTACACATTTTTAGTGTACGCTTCTCCTGTTGGCAATTATTTTAAGGTCGTCATAAAATTTGTTTTTTCTATCTTTTTTTTTCGTTGAATGGTGTATATATATGTTCCCATTTTGCGTGCATTCGTGTATCTTTCTTGTGTTGGTTGTTTTTGCAGAGAGGAACGGCACCTCTCAACTTGTACGTTGAAGATGAATATCACAGAGCCACTAATGGAGGTGCTGGAGGTGTTAAGAGCATTACTAACTATGCCCCTGTAAGTANTGTGAAAGCAGCAAATGATGCTATATATGCTACGAAGAATATGTAGCCATAATGTATGAATTGGCGTTTAATTCTCGTGAAAATTTCACTAGCCTTCTAATTTGGAAGTTGTCCTTCGGTTTTTAACAGATGGTGAGTGTTGTTGTGCGGTGTAGGTCCTGAAAGCCATAAGTCGAGCTAGGGAGAGAGGGTTCTCGGATGTCTTGTACTTGGATTCTGCGAATAAAAGAAACATTGAAGAGGTCTCGTCTTGTAACATCTTCATACTCAAGGTATTTCTTCATTACTGTGTGTCGATATAACTGCATGAATGAGACATTACTTTTGCTGGGAGTTGGAGAAAAAGACTGCAGATGAGTAGGCTTCCATAGGACAAACAAGTTACTCTGTGTCTAAGAATGTTTCAGAAAATTTTTTCTTTTCATTGTTTTTGTGCAGGGAAATGTTCTTTCGACTCCAGCACCTAACGGTACTATTCTCGAAGGAGTCACGCGTAAAAGCATCATGGACATTGCTCGTTTTCTGGGTTACAAGGTCATTTTTGTTGCTATTCTGTGCTACTCATATGCACTGTTATACATGCAATGAAGCTTTCAGTGTGATAATAAGTTTACCAAAACAATGTCAAAATAGTTAACTGCTATCGTTTGAAAAATCGGACGAATAATTTATTTCGGCAGCAATAAACTTCGCGATAAAATTAAGAAATAATACCTGTCAGGTAGTAATTTGATGTAATTTTTCGAATATTCGAGCAAGCAGGTCGAAGAGCGTTGTATCCCGATTGAAGAATTGAGTGATGCGGATGAAGTATTCTGCACCGGGACAGCTGTTGGGGTTATCCCTGTGGGAAGTATCACTTACAAGGGCAACAGGTAACAAACACTGTTAATAAGCCTATCCACATTTTCTGATTCAGAGTAACAACTCAGTTTTGAGATATTACTAATGTTTTCACATCTGCTTGATGAATATCTACTCTATACTACAAATACATACCCTATATTTGTTTGTGCAGGATCGAGTATAAGACGAGTGGCCAACTTGTGTCAAAGAAACTGTATTCAGAACTTTTGGGGATCCAAAGTGGGACTGCTGAGGATAGATGGGGATGGATTGTCAAGATTGACTGAGCTATTGTACAAATGTGAAAAGTGTAAATATGATTGTGTTCTACTCTTGGAAAGCTTTGTACTGTGCTTGCCATAATATATGTACTTATAATATTTGCTAGCAACTTGTATTGAAAATCTGAAGTAGCAAACTTATCATCTTTTTTTCTTGGCTACAAATTCTCCCATCACTAAAGAAAAAAGAAAAGAGAAAGAAAAAACAAAGAGAGAGAGAGAGAGAGAGAGAGAGAGAGCTACTGAATGACAGTGCACACATTCAGAAGTTCAAACACAACTTATCCACAGGTAAATCTGCTTAAAGAGTTGTATAGCTTGAATTTGAACAGCATATATTACAAATGCACGAAATCAAGGTTCTGCACAAGAAAGTAACCTTAATGATATATCAAAAGACAACAGTTGCAACATTAAATTGCTCTAAAACTGTCAATCTTATCAAGTCTTGCAATGCCTGAACTCGAAGATTCTCCCATGATGTCAGGGGCAGCAGCAGTGGCATGGGAAGAGGCCTTCTTTAATGAAGTCGGTAAACCAGAAATTTCCTGAATATATGCACAGAAGATTTTTATGAAATAAGAAATTTTTTGTCGGTTACTATTCATCCCTTTCATTTCATGCAGGATATTGGGGTACCATTGGATAATTCCACTGAACACAACAGCCAAAACAAAAGGGAAAATGGCAAAATGCACTTGATCGCATAGTACTGAATAAATGGAGAGATTATCCATTTCTAGTTTAACTCTTTTCTGACTACTTTTTACAGCAAAATAATAATAATAATAATAATAATAATAATAATAATAATAATAATAATAATAATAATAATAAAAATAAAATATAAACACACAGTAAAGGGTTTTTTTTATTCCTCTTCCCTCTTTTTGGCCACATTATTTTTTATAGAATATATTTGTGATGTGTTCCAGAAAATTTGTAACATTGGGACTTGGGAGAAAGGAGTGTACTAACTTCAATGTCAGCTTTTGGTTTACAGTAATAGCTTTATTTTATCTGATAACTTCTACTTACATTATACCACAGTAAGATATTTCACTATCTGGCTTTATTTCGCTCATCCAAATGACTTGTGTCATCCTCGACAAAGAAAGTACAGTTTCTACAGACTATGGCAAACAAATGGGATCACAATCTGCCCCCTGCCCTTCCACTCACCAAAAAGGAGAAGAGAAAAAAAAAAAAAAAAGAAATGGAAGAGTAGCTGCATACCTTCATCAAATGCATCCTTAGGTCGCATGGCCGAACTTGATTTCCAAGACAAGCCAATGCAAATTTTGAATACTGAAACAGGACATCTGCAGCAGCTTGCTTCTTTTCTTCAATCTGACATGCATGACAGTAGTGAAGAAATACAACAGAAAGAAACTTCAAATGATGATACGTTAAATATGTCAACAAAAAATATTACATCAACATCGAAAGTATTTGGTGTATTATTCCATTCCACCACCGGATCCACATCTAGCAATAAATGACACTTCTAGAATATATAATTTTTGGGACTCTTAGAGCATCTACAATGCTTTGGGTTCAATTAAGAAAATTTATATGCCACATAAGAAATAGACCCAATCCAAAAAAATATACTTTCCAATGCAAGTAAGAGTAGATTGGGTCCTTGGCAGCAAGAAAGAGATACTCGGTCTACCCTTAAGTCTTATTTTAGACTCAAGTATGGACCTAGTCTCTTTGCATTGAAGTGAAATTTATTAATTTACATAATTTAATCCATGTCATCCAAGACTTGAGTTTATTCACATGCCACATAGGCAAAACTAGACTCAATGCATTGAGTTGCTCTTAGAGTTGAGTTTTTGAGAAAAGTTGCATCTATTCACAAGATCAATACAAATATACAGATATTAGAACAAGAAGGCAACAATTGCACACATGAAGTATCAAGTTATCCTTGAGATAAAAATCAGCATCATTTGGAGATTTTCCGGTCCATTCAGGACCACGGATTCTCGAATGTTGTTCTGTTTTTAGATTTGCTGCCTATTTTCTCATTCATTTCCGTAATTTCTCCATCAATATGAAAAATAGATCTATACTATGAGCATTAGATTGAGATATTCTTACCATTACCTGTACATTTGTTTATACTAAGATCCAGGGTATTAGACGGGTTTAGAATTCTGTGAGGCTACAATTTCAAGATTATTCTCACAAAGGATGTATTCAATTGGGATTTCAAGTTACATTTTGAGACTTTTTAAGATTTGAGATTTGTTAAGATTTCCATTGGAGAAATTTCGTGAAATCTTAAGCTTGGAGGTGGGATTTGAAGTAGGATTTCCTATAAGGTTTTTTGTTTAGAAATCCTACCAAATCTTAAAAAGTTTTAACAAATCACAATGTCAAATAAATTAAATACCTCAGGATTTTGTAAGACTTTTTAAAATCCCAAATGAATACCCCAAGATTTATAAAAGTCTTAACAAATCTAAATTGAATACACCAGGATTTCTAAAGTCTTAAAAAAGATGTCTTTGAGCTGCAGACATTTTATTTAAACTTTAGAAACCTGAAGGGGAAAGAACTCTGGGTCCTTGTGACTATAGCTGGAACTAATTCATAATGATAGCTGTCTTATGGTTCGTTTCTCCCCTTCTCCAATTTACACTTTCACACAGATAAAATCAGAATGTCACAAAAGTTAGAGCTTTTTTCACCTTTTGCTTTACACACTCTGAGAGAACAAAATCTTGTTTGCTTCCAAGTGTAGCCAAGTGCAATGATTTTCTTTCATAATCTTGCACGATTTTAAGGCTTTAAGCTGAAAATTTTTGCTATTGGATTTGTAAAACCTTTTGCAATTGCATAAAGTGTTGAGCTTTGTCTTTTTCTCCCAAACATTCTCGACCATGTTAGCTTTTGTAATATTGTTGGCTAGGAATTTGCATTTTCAACACATTGTTCAGAGTATTAGGGAGAATCAAAATACACACATTAGCTGAACGTTCAAACCGCTGAGACTAATGTCTTCGAAAGTCTTTGATGAAGTGAAAAAAACAGACAATTTATGGGTTATCCAGAAAAAAGTGACATAGTATTCCCAAAGATGTTGTCCATTGCAAATGGAGCTGGAAGAGTCATTGTTGACAATTCTCCTGGCATAGTGCTAATAATGGACTAGATCAAAATGGCTCAATTAAATTCTAGTGTTTCTTTTATTAGTGAAGTTTCTAGAAAAAAATATATCAAACGGCGCAATACACCTTGGATCGCTACGGAAACAACCTCTTTGTATAATTACAAGGGTAAGGTAAACTGACCCCCCAGACCCCAACCTGTTGAGAATATACTGGGTATGTTGTTGTTGTTGTTGTTGTTGAGTATTCCCAAAGATGATAGCTTTTGTAATATGATAAAAGAAGGAAATTAAGACGAAGCTCATGATGATAGCTCACAATTATTTAATTCGTAGTTTTTCGTTATCTTAACATATACCAACCTATACTTTTTCCCCAAGTTAACAACGATTCAATTAACTAAACGTATGCTAACATCTGAAGATAAAACGAGGAACAAGAAGAAGAATCAGAGCAAAATTAAACTAGAGATTGCATTTCTGTAAGATCAAAATTAAAACATAAACAAGCGTACAACGAAATTAAACCACTCAAAAGCTCATACAAATTGATATGTAACCAGAAGTTCCGACACTGATTCGGATAATAATAATCAGGTAATATTACCTCGTAGTCTTTCATGGCTACACTCTAAACCACTGGAACCTCTCAACTAGTGTAGCCCAGGAAAAGGCTCCCTGAAATTTGGACAGAGCAGAGATTCGTTCTCAAAATGGGCAGTTTTAAGAAGAAGATTAAAGATAAATCATGTTCTTGTTTTCTTAATTTTATAATAGATGATATATATTATTAGTAGGGGTATGATGTGCTAGAGACTTGCCGGAGAGGCAACGGTTGCCGGCGAAATCACGGTCAAAACACAAGACACAAAAGAGAACTCACGCGAACATAAAAGTAGGGCTGGTATCGTTAGGTAACCGCACAGATAATAAAAAACTGAAACCGAACCGATAGGTTTCGGTTTTACTAATTTTTAAACCGATACTGAACCGATATTTTTCGGTTACCGATAAATCAGTTCGGTATCGGTTTAAACCGATAAAAACCGAAACCGCAGGCACAGCCCATACAATGACACAAGGAGCAGATCAATATACAAGTGGGATTAATAAATGTCTGGAGCAACACACTAATTGAACAAATACAGAGCACAATAACATCCTAAAAAAAAAATACTAATAATCAGAAAATAAAAAACAAAAGCACAAAAATGCATTTTATAAACAAACAACAGAACCCATTAGAAATAAAGAAACTCAAGCATAGAGTGTAAAATCTCATAATTCAACAATAAACAATTAAACATAATGCAAAAGCAAAACCAAACCACAATAAAGATTAACACATCAAGCACCAGCCTCAAAATTTTAATTTTGAACTTTTTAGTATCATCCAGGCAGACACCAATGTCATAAGAAAATATAGTCCTGGTCTCATAACTGTTATTGTAATGTTAGTTATTCTCATGTTGCAAAAAGCCTATGCTCGTCATAAGCATTCAAAAGGCTGGAAACATTTGGTTGTATATAAATCTGGCTCTAGGTCTCTACACATCTCAGTTCATCTCTTGTGGAGCAATGGTTTGTCAGCCAACATTCAAGTTCTAACCCCAGTCACACCTCACACCACAACTTCATAAAAATTAACAATTTACAGGCATAAATACGGAATACCAGCCCTAATTTTATTGCAGGCATAAGCATAAATACCATCCCTAATTTTACAAGAATGAGAAAAAAGTTTGCAGCATAAATACCAACCCTAAATCACAACTCCAACGACTAACAGAAGCAACTCCGACGAGTGATAGAAGCGGACGGGCAATCGCGGCTCCGACGAGTGACAGAAGCGAACGAGCAATCGTGGCTCTAGTCGACAAATTGCGACTACCAGGCCCACGGCCCCTACGTACCCTTTCGGCTTTGTGAATGAACAATCGCGTTAAGAACTGAGGGGTGAAATTTGGGAATCGTCACTCTGATTCGGTGAAGGTGAAGGTGAAGGTGAAGCTAAAGGAAGGACCGAAGGAGGCGATATGCGAAGGGTTTGGAAAATTTTAACTTTAATTGATTTGATTTCCAATTTTTTAAGTAACATTAAGCTATGTATTTAACTATCTAATTGCTCCTAATTTATTATTTTATTTAACTGGCTATATAATGTATAGTATATTGCATATTAATATATATTAGTACAATACCCGTGTAAATACACTGGTGTTGATTTAGGAAGTATATATAAAAAATATTATTTTTTTTAAATTCAAATAATTTAATTTTATATAAAACATTACTTTGAGTTTTAATTAAATTGTCAATTATATTTTATTAATCATAATAATTAAACACTCGTATATTAAATAAAAATATCAACTCATATTGAATTTTTTTACTTATATCATATAAAATTATTAAAATAATTTAATTTTATATAAAACATTACTTTCAGTTTTAATTAAATAATCAAATCATATTTTTTTAATATAATAATTAAACACCCGTATATTAAATAAAAATGTAAACTCATATTGAATTTTGTTACTTGTATCATAAAAAATTATCGATATTATTTACTATTAAATAAATAGAAATAATACGGTGATATGTATATGCATACGTGCAGAATATGTTTGTTTAATATTAAACAAAATAGATTAATTTTTTACTTAATTAGATGTCTAACACATCAAGTGTTGTATCCGTCGTGCTTTATAGTTTTCTAAATTTTATATGTAATTTTAGAATTTAGATAAATAATTATTTATTTTTATTAGATTGATAACATACCAATTAGATTTGAAATGAATATTATTTTTAAAAGAATACAAACTAATTTCTATTACTTTATAATGTAATTTATAGTTTTATTTGATATCTTTTAATTTAGTTTGATAAATAAACTTAAATTTTATTTATAAGAATATATATTAGTATTTTGTATTATATATAATATGGATGTCAAATCGAAAATCATTAAAATATACTTAATTTGATATATCATATATAAAAAATAAAATACAAATAAAAAAGTTATAAAATCTTAAAATAAGAAGAAGAAACATGGGGTTAAACCTAAAATTCTCTCACTTGAAAGTGATGTCGGATTCTCTCAGTTGGGAGCTTTGATCTTCGATTTCTTCTAGCAAACAAATTGATTCTCTCCCCGACTGTCCTTCTCTCTCGTGGTTTCTCCCCGCTGCCTTCTTTCTCTGTGATTTCGTAACCTAATTTTGCGTCTGTGGTTTAGTGTTCAAATTGGGGATTTTCAAGATTTCACCAATGGCAAGAGATTCTAGTCCAAATCATGATGAAGACCTTTCTCAACGAATGGAAAGCTTCTCCCTTTCAGAAAGAGAGGCTTCATTTGTGGACATAGCTAAAGAGGATATCCGTGTAAGTGCAGATGAATGTCATCGCAGTTTGTTTGGGAAAATTGTTGGAGATAGGCTGGCAAGCTGGATAGGAATAAAGAGGTCTATGAACCAGATTTGAAGGTTATCTCAACCTATGGAGGTCAAAGAACTCGAGCCTAACTATTTCCAATTTATCTTTCAAAGCCGAGACGATCTAAGAAGGGTCAGTTATGGCACCAACTGGACCTTCGAAAATCAATACCTGATTTTGAAGGAATGGAGAACTGGTCTGAATAGCAAGCACCAATGTTTCCAAGAACTTAACATATGGGTGCAAGTTGCAAATGTTCCTCTGAACTGGCTTAGCACGGAAGTCGGCATCAAAATCGGGAAAGTATTTAAAGGTGTCGACAATGTGGTTATCACTAACTACGGCAATCATGGAAGTAAATTTCTTCGGTTGCTGGTCTCCCTAAATTTAAATGAACCAGTTCCGAGATGTTCTAAAGTCAGACTGGGAGATGAGGTTGTTTCCATCAGCTTCAAATATGAAAAATTGAGGAACTTGTGTCACTATTGTGGCCACATAGGGCATTTCGAAAAAGGATGCCTTAAGAAAGTAGAGGATATAAAATCTAGTACTCTTAAGGAAGGCCAATATGGTGACTGGCTCAAAGCACCTGAAGGGCAATTCTGGGCTAATAACAACAACCATAACTCTGGCTCCAGAAGTCCACCGCACAGTCCCCGGTATTCACAGTAACCTTCTTCTCCTGAACAGTCATCTCATCAACAGGTGAGAACCAGTCAGCTAACCCTCAGAAACCAACTCATTATTCACACAGCAGACTCAAATCCCACAATCAAATCCTCAACTAAGGGCTCTTCTTCCAGCCCTCTCATTACCACCCCTAAATCCCCAGAAGTGTCAATGCCAGCTCCATTTAATGAGAGGCCAATAAAAGCCATGGATATTGAACCTCAGAATCTGTCAACTGCTTTAACTATTCTCCCAACAGCTTCTGGAAAAGGCAAGGGAATACTCCCTCTCAGATAGAAAAATTACTTATTGGCAAGAGGAGCAAAGTTGACAAATCCACTGACTTTGTTGAAGAAGAAGAAAAAGCTTCAAAAGATTCTGCAAGCAAGAAATCCAAAACATCTGAGGTAAAGGTGGGGGTGGCTAGCCTGGATTGGCACCCAAGTTCCCAAATGCTAGCTGCGGTGTGTGGAACTGTAGAGGGCTGGGTGGGCCCTCTACAGTTTCCCAAATCAGAGGGATTATTAGATCCCATCACCCAACTTTTATTTTTCTTTCTGAAACAAAAAAAACCAATGCTTTTGTTAAATCTGTAAGTAGGAAATTAGGCTTTGAGGATAGATTTTCTCTGGCTGATCCTCAAGGCTTAAGCGGAGGTCTTTGTTACTCTGGGAATCTTCTATTTCAATTCTTAATATCCAAGTTGCTTCCTTCTATATTGCGGTTCATTTTCAATGTGCTAATTCAGACCCTCAATGGGGTAGTTTTGTGTATATGAGCACTAATAGAGCTATCAGAACTCTTCAGTGGGCTGAATTGGAAGCTGAGAAGCCAAATTGGGGTAATCTCTGGTTTGTGATTGGAGATTGGAACGATCTTTGTTCGAGTGCAGATAAAATTGGTGGGAATCCAAGGCCTTACAGTAGCTTTTTGGGCTTCAACTCTTTTATTAGAAACATGGACATGGAGGAAATAAAGATGCTGAGACACCAGTTTACATGGTGTAATAATAGAGCAACTGAAGGACTGGTAGAGGAGAAACTTGACAGAGCTTTTGGCTCATTAGATTGGCACCAGAAATTTCCCAATGCTCTAGTGTTGAACAAAGTTGCTAGTTCCTCAGACCATTCTATTCTGCTGGTGGATGCTGGTTTGCCTAAAGACAGGAAGAAACCTAAGAGGTTCCACTTTGACATAAGATGGACTAGTATGGATGGCTTTATGGAGGTTGTGCACTCAGCTTGGAACATACCAACTTCAGGAACTCCATTTTACATTCTAAAAGAGAAGGTCAAGAACACCAGAGCTGCTCTACTTGTCTGGAGCTCCAAATTCCACACCCACAATCAACTCAAGATTGCGACTTTTACCAAGAAACTGGAAGATCTAAGAGAGAAGAACATCACTAACAATTGGGATGATTGGAATTCTACCAAAACTGGCCTTGAAAAAGCACATCACCATGAGGAACTCTACTGGAATCAGAAAGTTAGAATGAACTGGCTCAAAAGGGAGATTGCAATTCCAAATTCTTTCATGCCTTCACTTTACAGAGAAGGAGGATGAATGCAATTTCCAGACTTGTTTCCTCTAGAGGTGAAGAGATCACATCCAGACAGGCAATCCAGGAACACATCTCAGAATTCTACACAACTCTTTTCTCCTCTGAAGGCTCTTGGGGAGGGGATTCTATTCTTCACTTGATCCCACAGTCCATCACTGCTGACATGAATAATTCCTTGTTACTACCAGTTGAAGAAGAAGAGATCAAATCAACACTTTTCAGTCTACCCCTTGAGAAAGCACCTGGTGAAGATGGTATGAGTGCTTTTTTTTACCAACACCTTTGGTCTTTGATTCACTTTGATTTTGTTGCTGCTATCCTTAGCTTCTTCAACTCAGGCCAACTATTGCAATATTGGAATCATACTATACTGTCATTAATCCCAAAATGTGCATCTCCAGACTCCTTAAGCAAGTTCAGGCCAATCAGTTTGTGCTCAGTGGTTTATAAGGTGATTTCCAAAGTTCTTGCTCAGAGGTTACAATCATGCTTGCATGGTTGTATTAATGGTCACCAATCAACATTTATAAAGGGGAGGCAACTACTTGATAATGTTATAGTGGCCCAAGAAGCCTTCCATTATTTGAACAGACACTCCTCTGGTAAGAACTACTTCATGGCACTTAAACTTGACCTCATGAAAGCCTTTGATAGGGTGGAATGGCTTAGCATAAAAAAGATTATGATTCAGATGGGGTTTCATGTGGACTTTGTGAAATTAATAATGGCTTGTATCTCTACCACTTCTATTTCATTTAAAATCAATGGTGAAGTCAGTGGCTATGTTTGCCGTTCTAGAGGAGTTAGGCAAGGTGATCCAATCTCTCCTTACTTGTTTTAATCATCTCTGAACTCCTCTCAGCTCTGATTTTGGATGCTTGTTCTGTTAGAGTAGGGTACCCGGCGTTCCAATCTAATTGGACGTATTTTACTTGTAAATACAGTCTATTGGAATTATATTATGAATAAGGCATTTCTTTATCTTAAGAGAAAGCATTTATCTTATAATTGCACTTAAGATAAAATCCCTAGATCACTTATGGTTATAAGGTATGGTTGCGCATAGAGATGGTGATCATGGAACATACCTTGAAAGCCGTGATCTTAAATACAGTTCCAAGTCGATGGATGTTTCGAGATGGGATATCGAATAATCCATAAAAGACTTGCACATAGTTTGTATGCTTGTTGGACAAGAATGTTGCATTCCATCAACATTAGCGTAAGACGTAAGTACATTTATGTGGGTGCTTGTTAGAGAACAAGTTCACTGAACATGACCGTATGAAAATTCTTAATGAAGAATTTATTCAGTCGAATAAGAATTTTCATGTTACAATAGTACATGACTAATCCTAAGACTTGAGGCACAATGGTAACTTTGTGCATATTACATTCTACTTTGATTTATCCTTTTGGTAGCTAGCACTATCGTTTAAAGGGATAAGTTGGGTATTATGTTAATATGTATGGAAGTTTGTTAGTGGCCAATAAAGGATTCGACACTTATGAAGATAAGTGAATTTCCTATGTGTTTCATAGTTATTAATCCAAAGTCCTTGGCCAAGGCAGAGATGAATAGTGATTCATAACCGGGTTAATAAACATGAAATAGAATCATAGTTATTAAGTCAATTTGGGTTTCGACAAAATCATACCCAAGACTTAATCGGGAAATTAGATGTCGAAAGGATTTTACATGTATGGAGTTGTAATCGGAATAGGTTTACTCGCTATTCACTTAATACTAGATTCATGCTACTTGCTAGGTGTTACCATGATATGTGGGTTCATAAATTAAAGGGTTAATTCATGAATAAGAGTTAATAAGATTTAACTCAAATTACAAAGTGTTGTAAACCCACTACTAGTATTAAGGTGAACCTAAAAGGTCACACTAATTATGAACAAAGGTAAAGATTGTATTTCTAATGGTTAGAATTAATTGATAAATATCTAATTTGATTAGATATCAATTAAAGGAATATATTAATCAATAAGATTGATTAATTACATTTTGGATATTACTTTAGTAATTAAGGTAATTACTAAATTAATAAAGTTGAATTTTAAAATAGGATTTTAAATTTCAAAAATCCAAAATAATAATAATATGATTATTATAATATTGGGAAAATGATATAATAATAAAGTCTTGAGAAAGATTCTCAAGATTTATTATCCAATTATTATTTATATCTTTAAATATGATTTAAGGATTAAAATAATAAATATGATTATAATAAAATGGTTGTTGATGGTTGTTTGAACTACTTAACATATCTTATTATTTTCAAAGTCAAAAGTTAGTAAATACTATTTAAATAAAATTTGATTTTATTTAATATTACTAAATGTTGATTATTTTATGCTAAAATGTTTAGTATAAATATATGCAAAATGGTTTTGCATTTAAGTGAAGTTTTTGATCCTAAATTTCTAAGTGTTAGAAAGAGAAGAAAGTGTTCTTCATAAAACTTCAAGAAAGAGTTCTTAAAATTCCCAAATAAAATTCATAAATATTCCTATACAAGAAAACCGAGTCTTTTCTACTAGCGAAGGAAAGTCGTCGGAACCGGGCTTCATAGGGTGGATACGTTTAGAGGGAAGACACTTGGATTCCTCTAGCGAGTAACCTCAAGTCGTTGAAGTTACAACCGGGAACCGATTCCCTCATCCATCATCAATAGTGAAGGAGTTCAAGAAATTCGGTAAATATTTTTACTAGTATTTACTTTATAGTAACAAATCAAAATTTGTATATGATGCATGTTTTAAAGATGACGATCAGTTAATTCGCAATTAGTATGTACGGGTGTTGTATTTATACGATAAATACTTACTTTAAAAATTTTAAATTCCGCTGCGTACAGCCCGTACTGTACTATCGAACTCAACATGTTCTTCTGGTAATCTCAAGGGGCTAAAATTGTCTCAGAATGGTTCAACTATTTTACACTTGCTATTTGCTGATGATTCCTTATTTTTCTGTAAAGCTGGGGTTGACCAGGCTCATATTCTTATGGACATTTTGAACAAGTACAAGCTCTTCACTGGGCAATGTGTGAACCTTCAGAAATCTGCTATTTTTTTTAGCAGGAATTCTCCTATGAACCTTTAGTCTACTATTTGCACAACTCTGCATGGCATTCAAACCCACAGGTCTACCAGATACCTTGGCCTTCCTCTGGGCATTGGGAGATCCAAAAAGGAAGTGCTTGAGTATCTTCTTGATTCAATTCAAAGCAAACTTCAGAGCTGGAAATCCAAATTGTTATCTTCTGCAGGCAAGCTAGTGCTTCTGAAAGCTGTATTGCAAGCTTTGCCAATTTTTACCATGTCATGTTTGAAATTTCCAGTCTCTTTTTGCTCTGCAATATCTAGTCTTTGTGCTAAGTTCTGGTGGAAAAACAATGAAGAGGAGCTCAAGGGTATTCACTGGAAGAGCTGGACAAAGCTAACTATTCCTATGCAGGATGGTGGTTTGGGCCTTTTGGACATCAAACTCTTCAATGAAGCACTGATCTGCAAGCAACTTTGGAGGATTACCAGTCAACCTGATCTTCTGGTTGTAAAGTGCTTAAGGACAGGTATTTCCCCAACTCTTGTATATTTCAAGCAATTAAATCTCAAAAAGATTCTTGGTTATGGAATTGTTGGCTTGATGTCCTGCATACTTTTGCCAAATGGTTGAAAACTGAGATCAGAGATGGGGCTTCAACTAGAATCTCTGATTTTAATTGGGTGCCTACTTTGCTGAAACCTGCTCCTGATATTCTTGACATTGCTAGGGATCACCTTATCTTTGTTAAGGATCTGTTATTAGCTGATGGTTCTCACTGGAATGAGTGGCTAGTTAAGCAAGTCTTTAATCATGAGGATAGCTCTGCAATATTGAAAATCAGAACTCTTAGAGCACGCTCTCCTGATAGACACTACTGGCTCTTGATAAGAAAGGCAAATTTTCTGTGGCCTGCACTTATGCTCATCTGGTGGCTCAAAAAGTTAGGACTTTGGATCAACCAGAAAGCAGTCTGATTCCCAATCTGTGGCCTCTAACTTTGAAAAGAACTTGGTCTTTGAAGGTGTTGATGAAAATCAAAATTTTTATTTGGAAATGCCTCACAGGTGCCTTGCCAGTGCTTGTTAACTTAAAAAAAATGGGTTGGACATAGATGTGATCTGTAGATGCTGTGCAGAAGCCCCTGAAACAATTGAGCATGCACTTCTCCAATGTCCTAGAGCTTGCACCATTTGGGACCTGCCCCCAGTCTTATGGCCTAACCTTCATCACTTCGAGTTCTCCTTCAGATCATGGTGGCAAGCCATCTGCAGCATTGGTCATTCAGAGTTTGTAGAGGAGAGGATCCAGCTATCTACTTACCTTCTCTGGTGGCTCTGGAAGACCAGAAACCACTGGATTTTCCAGCATTCCGTTCCTCCTCCACACATTTTCATCAAAGCAGCAATGTCTGATTGGGGAGACTTCTCAGCAGCAGCTAGGGCTTCATCATAGTGTCTTTGTTTAGCTTTTGTCTGTAGTTTTGATTTTGAGCAGGGATTAGCTAGGCTTTGAGGCAGTGGCTTCTCTTATGTTCTTTTTTATTTTCAGTTTCAGTGCTTTTGTGTTTTCAGTTGAGGTTCTAGGCCATCTTGTGGATGTGCCTCCCATGTTGATCTTGTTGTTTGATTGTACATTGGATCTTGGTTTCTTTTTAGTTAATAGATCTCTCTATCGTTCCGATAAAAAAAAAGAAGAAGAAACATTTATAATAACTAATGAATGAATTAAATAAGAAAATGAAATGTAATGTATGTTAATGTAGGAAAAAGAAATATAATAATTTATGGTAACTAATTGTAAAAATAAAGAAGGAAAAAATCAATCATGGATTTAGTGTGATAAAAAATATTAAATCCAAGTCTAACTCCAAAGCATGATTTTTTGCCAAATAAGATTACGAAGCGTGAAAGTCTGCCACATAGGCTCAACCGATTCTGAAATTATATATAGAGGGAATTTTTTAATGCTTATCAGTTCGGTATCGGTAACTGATTGTCGCTTACCGTTACGTTCGGTTTGGTACGATTCGGTTTATTTTCTTGTCAGTTCGGTTCGATTTTCAATTTTCGTTGAAAAAATGTCAGCCCTAAATAAAATAGCACGCTCTTATTTGAAGATGTTGAATTAACTGTGGTGTACTCCACTATGAACACGTCATCGTCGTCAATTAGCTTGTCGTCATCGCTGTTGGTGCCACAGTCCCATTGGGATTGCTCGTCGAACACCACGCCATGCGTTACATGGATATGCTTTGTGATGGGGTCAAAGGCACGGTATGCCTTGGTGCCACGCTCGCAGGCGATGAAGATCATCTTGCGACTGCGGTCGTCGTGTTGCGCATAAAGACAATGCAATCGAACGTTCTGAGATGGTCCACCGTTGTCTTGCTCCTATGCCACGCCTTGTACAGTGCCATCCCCTCTACGCTTTTAGCCAAGCACCTTTTCAGCATGTACATAGCGGTGCTGACCGCCTCATCTCAAAACCATCCTGGCTTGCCCTTGGCCTTGAGCATGCTCCTCGTTGTTACTGCCACCGTGCCATTTTGTCATTCCACGACATTGTTTTGTTGCGGGCTATAAGGCGTCGTGTGCTAACGGTACATGTCCTCAGCCGCACAGTAGTTAGCAAACTCGGTTGGTGAACTCACCACCGCGATCAGTGCGGGGCGCTTTCAGCTTAACGCCAGACTCGCCTTCTGCCCGTACTTGAACCTCCATTATGGCAGTCTCGACATGATCCTTTGAGCGAATTGCGGCTACCCACATGTATATGCTGAAGTCGTCCGCCATCAGCAGAAATTACTTGTTTCCTCTAGGTGTCGCCGGCGTGATGGGGCTGCACAAGTCTCCATGCACCAGCTCAAGACGCTGTTATGCATGGTACTCCGCTTGTGCCAAAAACGAAGTCCGCCTCTGCATTTCAACTTGGCACTTGTTGCACAGCTGATCGACCTGCCCAATATTTGGAAGGCCACCCACTAGGTTCTCCCGAGCCAGCTTCTTGAGCGTCGCCATGTTGACATGGCCAAAGCGCTCATGCCACCGCCACTCCATCTCGTCACTGTACCTACGCATCTCCAAGCAAGATGGATGCACCACCTTGATATAGAGCTCGTACAGGCGGTTGGTTTCCTGTGTCGCATTCACCAACAGCTGTCTGTCGGGCTCCCTGATCCTTAACACCCTGTTGTCGATGGTGATATTGTAGTCGCCCTCGTTTAGCTGTGCGAGGCTGATTATTTACAGGGTATATCAGACTCTACTTTCATATAAGGAAATTTCAGAGCGAGAACATTAAGAGCGATGAAGAACCAAAAGGATCAAATCAACCAGCATAAAGTACTATTTGCTTTTTGTTGTTATCAATTCCAATATTTAATGTGATTGAGCTTCTTTGGGATAGATGTGATTGAATTCTCTCTAAAGGTGCGATGGATCGGACTGTGACGTGATTGATGTGATATTCCATTTTGTTGGATGTGAGAGGGATGTGAGATTTCTGTAAAATTGATCTGATTGTGTGATGTGATTGATGTCCTTTTTTTTATGGATGTCATTGATTACTGTAAAATTGCGATGATTTGTGATGGATCTGGATGATCGGGTGTCGTGGGATTTTTGTTATTGATTTCTCTCAAAGTGCGATTATGATCCAATTTAATGCAATTTGAATGTTCAATTTACCTGTTTAGGTTTACTGTTCCTCCTCGATTTCTACTATGACAACTGATTTCTTTAATTGATTTATAGATCTGTGAAATAATTCAATTTCTGGTTTAGGCTTTCTACTATGACAGCTGATTTCTTTACTTATTAGGTTTAGATTTCTTTGTTGATTTTTTACTTATATTAGCTTTACTGTAGACATGTTGATCTTCACTGGCCTTTACTGTAGACATGCTGAATATTCACTGGCCTGCTAGAGGTTTACTGTAGACATGTTGACCTTGAAAATCCCAAAAGCACGCATAGTACAGGTTGAAAAAATTATATACCCTTTTTTTGTAGACATTAGTAAAGTGCACGTGTCATGCACGTGATATGCACACAATGCATGATTCACATTTTTTGTGATTTTAATTATATTTTTATACTTATATGACTTAAAGAAAAACAAATAAGTGTATTACACTATGTCATCTACTGAAAGTTGAAACATAATTCTAAAATAATGATGATAAAATTTGAATGTCGTGATAGAAAGAAACTACCGAAGAAATATCCTTTAAAAGATGATATTGAGTACCTACGCTTGTTGAGCTTACAGCTGCAAACTCGGAAAAAAAGATCTATGTTGTAAAGATTCCCAAGTGATTAAATGTTTGTGAGGTGAAATACACGAGAATTTATTAAAAATAATAAAATAAATTATTATATATAAACAAACTATGAAAAGCGTATTTCTATGAGACAATTTTTTTACACCCCAATATATACATGTTCTTTCTTTTACACATTGTCCCGTCAGTAAACTTTTTTTTCACCCCCAAAACTTACGAAACGATATGCGATATAAAAATCGAATGTCCAAATAAACCTCATAAATAATAATTATGCAAGATTTTGTCACAAATATACCAACGCATATTCCTGTCAGACTCAAACTTGATAAATATGTGAAATACTCTCGCATATTTACATCCACCACATAATATTTGATATGCGAAATTATGCATATATAGTTATCGCATATCCAAATTGATCGTCGCATATTTATGATTAAGCGACCATTTTTCGCATAGTTTACTACTCGTATATCCAAACTGATTGCCGCATATGTACGATTATGCGACCATTTTTCGCATAGTTTACGACTCGTATATTCAAATCGACGCATAAGTCCATAAAAAATATCAAATCTGTATTGGTCCATTCCGTTTGATAAGATTCATGATGCTCGTCATGAAAATATCATCATGTCTATGAAAGTATAAATAAATAGTCATCTGAGCAACTCCGAGGACAACTCCAACACCATTAGGCATCTATTTAGGAAAACAAAAAGATATTACATACACAAATTTTAATATAGTTATACTAATATTTTAGGTATTTGAGTTATACTAATATTTTAACTTACCGCTGTCAGAAAGTCCTTTCTCCCATCCATTTACAAACCAACATATGCCACTCATTGTCAGGGACAATACCAGCGCACCAACGTCACTCTCCCTGAAGACTCGACGCTGCAAAAAAACCAAAAATAAACAAATAATCGAGTACCGAAACATAATCTTTAATGTAAGTTTTTTCGCATGAATTATACTCGCAAGTCTAGTCAGTGGTGCGACAAAGGCCAAGTCTATGGATATAAGACATATCCACTCATCGATGAGTACCTGCAGTGGGCTAACTATAGCGTGTATGTAACAACACAAACCACTATAGAAATGCCCATGAAAGCACTTAAAAGCTTCACAGCAAAAATCTAGAGAGAGTATTTTGATAAAAATTAATAAAACAACATAGTAAAAAGCAATGATAATTTTCCTAGATTGTATATTTTTGTTGCATACCCGAGCATTTACTGGCACACAATATATGTGCAGAGACATATAGATTAGCTCAACGATGCATCCACTCTTGTTGATGGATATTACGGCCTTGAGTGACTCAAGGCACCCGTAATAAAGCCATAATGAGGCAGAATATAGGTCCAACGTGTCCATTATAGGAGAACACTTCTCTATAGGCGTCCGAAGATGGTAAACACTATATAAAGTGGGCCTAAAAAAGATTATAAGTATAATTTAAATAATAAATTTTTAAAAATAGCTTAAACAAATTTATTTTGTTTGAAGAAAATTATTCTATAATTTTGACTTGAAGAAGTTGTTGAATACTTGAAATGTGGAAGGAATATAAGCAGTAAGACGATAAGTAGACGTGAGATAATAAAATAAAAATAAAAGAAAATAAACAGCCCAAAGAAAAAAAAATATAAAACAAATGAAGAGCAGGTTTTACGTATGGAAAAGTAACACCATATAGTTACTTACTATAGAGCTATATAGACAAGTGCGGCGAAGAAAAAAGCTTATTCAAATAATATGAATTTCATTAATATATATAAGCACAAAAAGACATATAAAGTGGATGATCTCTATATAATAATATAAGAAACTCTTACAGATGTAGCTAAATAAATCTTCTATGCCGGCATATCACAAGAAATGAAAAATATATATTTATTTCTAACATATAAAGTATTAGAATATAATACCACTTGCGATTGTCCTACATCGTTTATACCGATAAAATAGGTCTAATTTAATAACTTATAAGCCTAGTAGGCTACTCCTACTTCTACCAATTGGTTTCGGGATGAACCTCACTATGACTCATCTAAACTTTCCCTGTCCTGATGCGCTTCATATGCGTGGGACCACACCAAATTTTCCCCCATTTCTTACATAAAGATTAGATCATAATCTAACATCAGTTTTGTGTTCTAACTTGTAATGTTGAATTCATTTTACATAAAAAGAAGAGTGGTTGCTCCAATTCATGTCTAGATAATTTAGTGAAGAAGAAGACATTAATTAGCTGCCTGAAATTAATCTACCATGTTCAAATAAATGGAAATTTATACCCTTTTTTCGAGATATTAGTAAATTGCACATGTCATGCACGTGATATGCACGCAATACATAATCCACATTTTTTTTATTTTAATTATATTTTTATACTTATATGANTATGTTGTAAAAATTCGCAAGTGATTAAATGTTATTGAGGTGAAACACACGAGAATTTATTAAAAAATAATAAAATGAATTAATACATATATACAAACTATGAAAAGCGTGTTTGTATGGAACAATTTCTTTACACTCCAATATATGCATGTTCTTTCTTTTACACACTGTCCCATCAATATACTTCTTTTTCATCCCCAAAACTTACCAAACGATATGCGATATAAAAATCATATGTCCAAATGAACCGTATAAAATCAGAATTATGCGAGATTTTGTCACATATATACCAACGTATATCCACATCGGACGCGCACTTGATAAATATGTGAAATACTCTCGCATATTTACATCCACGGCATAATATTGATATACGAAATTATTTTGCATATATAGTTATCGCATATCCAAATTGATTGCCGCTTATTGTGATTAAGCGACAATTTTTCGCATAGTTTATTACTCGCATATCCAAATTGATCGCCGCCTATGTATGATCATGCGACCATTTTTCGCATAGTTTATGACTCGCATTTTCAAATCGAGGCATAAGTCCATAAAAAAAATCAAATCTGTATTGGTCCACTCGGTTTGATAAGATTCATGATACTCGTCATGAAAATATTATCATGTCCACGAAAGTAAAAATAAATAGTCATCTGGGCAACTCCGAGGACAACTCCAACACCATTAGCCATCTATTAAGGAAAAAATAAAGATACTACATACACAAAATTTAATATAATTATACTAATATCTTAGATATTTTAGTTATACTAATATTTTAACTTATCACTATATGGAAGCCCTTCACCCATCCATTTACGAACCAACAAATGCCGCTCATTGTGAGGGAGAATACTGGCGCGAAAGACATTTTTCCATTGTCTCTCTCCTTGAAGACTCGACAGTGCACAAAAACAAAAAATAAACAAACAACTGAGTACTGAAACATGATCTTTAATGTAAGTCTTTTTGCATGAATTATACTCACAAGGCTAGTCAGCGATGTGACAAAGGCCACGACTGTGGATATAAGGCATAACCACGCACCGATGAGTACCTGCAGTGGGCTAACTATAGCGGTGTATGTGTTGATAAACGGATTTAATCAACGTAATTAATGTAAAAATCACGGTAAAGATTGCAGAAAATGAGATTTTTATTGAAAATCTTAAAGTCGGTTACAGAATTGGAAGTCGGTTTTTCAATGTTCACTAAGTCGGAAAACAGAGAAAACCGAGATAAATATGTGTGTTTTTATAACTTTTTGCCGAATCCTCGTATCGTCTTCAATGTTGCTATTTATAGTTATGCTTGGCACACATCCCTAGACAAATCAGCTTCGTTTTAATGAAGATTTGACAGTTTAGGGGCGGCAATGACGTAGGCAAGCTTTTTAGGTAAGGATGAGCATGGGCGCTCCTCTATCTGTGTGACAAGCGTCACTTCTGTCGGGTTGAAGTCGGTGACCTTTCACGACGTCGGCTTTCGGTAGAGTTTTAATCTTCCACGACTTCCTGGTAAGCTGCTCTTTAACTGAGGTGACCATTTCGAGGTTTTAACATTTATCTTGACGACCTTTGGAATCTACTGTTTTTCTTCAGGACGTCGTATGAAGACCGAGGTGATATTTTCGAGGTCCCAGCTATTTCGTTTTGTATCGTCAAAGACCCGGTTCGTGGTTTGGACTATTATGAAACCTTTAATCTATCATTTATCTCAAGATATATTTAATCTTGATATCAACAGTATGTAACAACACAAACCACTATAGAAATGACCATGAAAGCACCTAAAAGCTTCACAGCAAAAAGCTAGAGAGAGTATTTTGATAAAAATTAATAAAACAACATAGTAAAAACAATGATAATTTTCCTAGATTGTATGTTTTTGTTGCATACCCGAGCATTTAGTGGCACACGATATATGTGCAGAGACATATATATCAGCTCAACGATGCATCTCATCGTGTTGATGGATATTACGGCCTTGAGTGACTCAAGGCACCTGTAATAAAGCCATAATGAGGCAGAATATTGGTCCAACGTTTTCACTATAGGAGAACACTTCTCTATAGGCGTACGACGATGGTAAACCCTATATAAAGTGAGCCTAAAAAAGATTATAAGTATAATTTAAATAATAAATTTTTAAAAAAAGCTTAAACAAACTTATCTTGTTTGAAGAAAATTTTTCAATAATTTTGGATTGAAGAAGTTGTTGAATACTTGAAATATGGAATGAATATAAGCAGTAAGACAATAAGTAGACGTGGGATAATAAAATAAAAATAAAAGAAAATAAACAGCCCAAAGAAAAAAAAATATAAATCAAATGAAGAGCAGGTTTTACGTATGAAAAAGTAACACCATATAGTTATTTACTATAGAGCTATATAGACAAGTGCGGCGAAGAAAAAACCTTATTCAAATAATGTGAATTTCATTAATATATAAGCATAAAAAGACATATAAAGTGGGTGATCTCTATGTAATAATATAAGAAACTCTTACCGAGGTAACTAAATAAATCCCCTATGCAGGCATATCACAAGAAATGAAAAATATATATTCATTTCCAACATATAATGTATTAGAATATAATACCATTTGTGATTGTCCCACATCATTTATACCGAGAAAATAGGCCTAATTTAATAACTTATAAGCCTAGTGGGCTACTCCTACTTCCACCAATTGGTTTTGGAATAAACCTCACTATGACTCATCTGAACTTTCCCTGTCATGGTGCACTTCATATGCGTGAGACCACACCCGTTTTTCTCCCATTTCTTACATAAAGATTAGATTATAATCTAACAACAGTTTTGTGTTCTAACTTGTAATGTTGAATTCATTTTACATAACAAGAAGAGTGGTCGCTCCAATTCATGTCTAGATAATTTAGTGAAGAAGAAGACATCAATTAGCTGCCTGAAATTTATCACTCATGTTCAAATAAATGGAAATTTATATCCTTTTTCCGAGATATTAGTAAATTGCACGTGTCATGCACGCAATACATAATTCACATTTGTTGTGATTTTAATTATATTTTTATACTTATATGACTAAAAAAAAAACAAATAAGTGTAATACACAATGAATTATGTTATATACTGAAAGTTGAAACATGATTTTAAAATAATGATGATAAAATTTGAATGTCGTGATAGAAAGAAACTACCGAACAAATATCCTTTAAAGGATGATATTGAGTACCTACGCTTGTTGAGCTTACGGCCGCAAACTCGAAAAAATAATTGATTTATGTTGTAAAGATTCACAATTGATTATATGTTATTAAGGTGAAACACACGAGAATTTAATAAAAAATAATAAAATAAACTATTACATGTATACAAACTATGAAAAGCGTGTTTGTATGGAACAATTTCTTTACACTCCAATATATACATGTTCTTTCTTTACACTCCAATATATACTTGTTCTTTCTTTACACTGGAAAAAGCGTGTCAATATACTTCTTTTCATCCCAAAAACTTACCAAACGATATACGATATAAAAATCGTATGTCCAAATGAACATATAAAATAAGAATTATGCGAGATTTTGTCACATATATACCAACGCATATCCATATCTGACGCGCGCTTGATAAATATGTGAAATACTCTCACATATTTACATCCACGGCATACTATTTGATATACGAAATTATTTTGCATATATAGTTATCGCATATCCAAATTGATCGCTGCTTATTGTGATTAAGCGACCATTTTTCGCATAGTTTACTACTCGCATATCTAAATTGATCGCCGCATATATATGATTATGCGACCATTTTTCGCATAGTTTATGACTCACATATTCAAATCGAGGCATAAGTCCATAAAAGATATCAAATCTGTATTGGTCCATTCCGTTTGATAAGATTCATGATGCTCCTCATGAAAATGTCATCATGTCTACAAAAGTAAAAATAAATAGTCATATGGGCAACTCTGAGGACAACTCCAACACCATTAGGCATCTATTAAGGAAAAAATAAAGATACTACATACACAAAATTTAATATAATTATACTAATATCTTAGATATTTGAGTTATAGTAATATTTTAACTTACCGCTATATGGAAGCCCTTCACCCATCCATTTATTAACCAACGAATGCCGCTCATTGTCAGGGACAATACTGGCGTGAAAGACATTTTTCCATTGTCTCTCTCCTTGAAGATTCGACGGTGCACAAACACCAAAAATAAACAAACAACTGAGTACTGAAACATGATCTTTAATGTAAGTCTTTTTGCATGAATTATACTCACAAGGCTAGTCAGCGATGTGACAAAGACCACGACTGTGGATATAAGGCATAACCACTCACCGATGAGTACCTGCAGTGGGCTAACTATAGCGGTGTATGTAACAACATAAACCACTATAGAATGCCCATGAAAGCACCTAAAAGCTTCACACAAAAAATCTAGAGAGAGTATTTTGATAAAGATTAATAAAACAACATAGTAAAAAACAATGATAATTTTCCTAGATTGTATATTTTTGTTGCATACCCGTGCATTTAGTTGCACACGACATATGTGCAAAGACATATACATCAGCTTAACGATGCATCCCATCGTGTTGATGGATATTACGGCCTTGAGTGACTCAAGGCACCCGTAATAAAGCCATAATGAGGCAGAATATAGGTCCAACGTGTCCACTATAGGAGAAAACTTCTCTATAGTCGTACGACAATGGTAAACCCTATATAAAGTGGGGCTAAAAAAGATTATAAGTATAATTTAAATAAAAAATTTTTTTATAAAAAGCTTAAACAAACTTATTTTGTTTGAAGAAAATTATTCTATAATTTTGGACTGAAGAAGTTGTTGAATACTTGAAATGTGGAAGGAATATAAGCAGTAAGACGATAAGTAGACGTGGGATAATAAAATAAAAATAAAAGAAAATAAACAGCCCCCAAAAAAAAATATAAAACAAATGAAGAGCAGGTTTTATGTATGAAAAAGTAACACCATATAGTTACTTACTATAGAGCTATATAAACAAGTGCGGCGACGAAAAAACCTTATTCAAATAATGTGAATTTCATTAATATATAAGCATAAAAAGACATATAAAGTGGGTGATCTCTATGTAATAATATAAGAAATTCTTACCGAGGTAGCTAAATAAATCCCCTATGCCGGCATATCACAAGAAATGAAAAATATATATTTATTTCTAGCATATAAAGTATTAGAATATACCACTTATGAGTTGTCTCACATCATTTATACTGAGAAAATAAGCCTAATTTAATAACTTATAAGCCTAGTGGGCTACTCCTACTTCCACCAGTTGGTTTTGGGATGAACCTCACTATGACTCATTTGAACTTTCCCTGTCATGGTGCTCTTCATATGCGTGGGACCATACCCGTTTTTCTCCCATTTCTTACATAAAGATTAGATTATAATCTAACAACAGTTTTGTGTTCTAACTTGTAATGTTGAATTTATTTTACATAAAAAGAAAAGTGGTTGCTCCAATTCATGTCTAGATAATTTAGTGAAGAATAAGACATCAATTAGCTGCCTGAAATTTATCTGCCATGTTCAAATAAATGGAAATTTATACCCTATTTTTTAGATATTAGTAAAGTGCACGTGTCATGCATGCACGTGATGTGCACGCAATACATAATTCACATTTTTTGTGATTTAATTTTTTTTTATACTTATATGACTTAAAAAAAACAAATAAGTGTCACAATGAATTATGTCATATACTTAGAGTTGAAACATAATCTTAAAACAATGCTGATAATATTTGAATGTCGTGATAGAAAGAAACTACCGAACAAATATCCTTTAAAGGATGATATTGAGTACCTAAGCTTGTTGAGCTTACGGCCGCAAACTCGAAAAAAAAAGAAAGATCTATGTTGTAAAGTACATGGCCAAATGCCGGGCCGGGTCGGGGGGCGGGCCGGAGGGTTGGGTTATCACGACCCTGAACCGGCAGGAAGCTAGGCCGTCTCGGGTCCATGGCCTGGCGGGCCGGGCCCAGGTTTGGACCCGCCTATATAAAAAAAAAAAAGAAAAATTCAAAAATAACCTGTTTTTCCGTGCCTGACACGACCTGGCCCGGCCCGGTGGGCCAGTTTCGACAAAAAGAAGACCCTGAACCGGCCCGACCGGGCCGGCTGGCCGGTTGACCCGTGGCCATGTCTATTGTAAAGATTCGCAAGTGATTAAATGTTATTGAGGTGAAACATACGAGAATTTATTAAAAAATAATAAATAAATTATTACATGTAAACAAACTATGAAAAGCGTGTTTGTATGGAACAATTTTTTTACACCCCAATATATACATGTTATTTCTTTTACACATTGTCCCATCCATAAACTTCTTTGTCACATCCAAAACTTACCAAACGATAAGCGATATAAAAATCGTATGTCCAAATGAACCGTATAAATAAGAATTATGCAGATTTTGTCACATATATAGCAACGCATATCCATATCGGAGGCGCACTTGATAAATATGTGAAATACTCTCGCATATTTACATCCACGGCATAATATTGATATACGAAATTATTTTGCATGTATAGTTATCGCATATCCAAATTGATCGCCACATATTGTGATTAAGCGACCATTTTTTGCATAGTTTACTACTCGCATATCTAAATTGATTGCCGCATATGTATGATTATGCGACCATTTTTCGCATATTTTATGACTCGCATATTCAAATAGACCCATAAGTCCATAAAAAATATCAAATCTGTATTGGTCCATTCCATGATGCTCGTCATGAAAATATCACCATGTCTACGAAATTAAAGTAAATTCTCATCTGGGCAACTCCGAGGACAACTCCAACACCATTAGGCATCTATTAAGGAAAAAATAAAGATACTACATACACAAATTTTAATATAATTATACTAATATCTTAGATATTTGAGTTATACTAATATTTCAACTTACTGCTATATGGAAGCCCTTCACCCATCCATTTACGAACCAACAAATGCCGATCATTTTCAGTGACAATGCTAGCGCGAAAGAAATTTTTCCATTGTCTCTCTCCTTGAAGACTCGACGGTGCACAAAAACCAAAAATAAACAAACAACTGAGTACTGAAACATGATCTTTAATGTAAGTCTTTTTGCATGAATTATACTCACAAGGCTAGTCAGCTGATGGGTCTACTTCTGGATTTGGAGTAAACCGGTGGTTATGAGCTCAGATCTGCTTGAACCGTCTTTAAACCGTCGCTAGATCGCAAGAATGCCTGCAAAAAAACTCAACGCCGGAGGTGTTTCCGGCGTAGAGCCTCCGACGCTCAAGTCAGTATGAGAGTGATGAAGAGAGGCTGCGCAGCAGCT